TGGATTCCTAGCAGAGGGATCCGGTGAATACAAGCTGGTGCTTGTTGTGCGGAGCGACCTCAAAATGGGGAAGGGAAAAGTGGCAGCACAGGTCAGTCTGAGTATCATCACTGCATGTTTCTTTCATAGAGTAATTTGGCAAGTCCAAAAATAGGGTGAATTATAATATTTAAACAAAAGGAGGTTGTCCCAATAATTAAGACCTAAAATATAAGATTACAAGAGAATATTAGGGATATGGAGAATTATGTCAATATAAAGAAAAGTAGGCTATACTTCGTATGGATTTGGAAGTAAAGGTGATAGTGATGTGCACCTATTCATGTGATACTATAAGTAACTATATATGTTTAGAACTATTAATTCTTTATTATTTTTCAGAAGAAACTTTGAAAATATGGCAAAAATACCTTCAGTTTAAAGTTTTTCATTTCTTTCCTTCCCCCTCAAGAAGGCCATACTTGAAAAAGAACCGTCCTATATAAAAATCCTAAATTGGTAGTGGTAGAAAATAACTATTTTCTTTTCCTTTTTCTTCAACCAAATATTCAGTGTTCCCATGCAACCCTGAAGGCCTTCAAGCAGTCTCAAAAGTCCTGCCCCAAGATTCTAAGAAAGTGGGAACTAAATGGACAACCAAAGGTAAATGTTTAGATTTTTTTTTTTTTTTTTTTTTTTTTTTGCTGCCATATAAGAAAAGTGTTAACTTAAGATATATGATTTATTTTGCAGCACTGAAAAATCATCATCCATGTTTATCAAGAATAACAACCTTGTAAATTAAAGTAATTACAAAGTTACCTCATGACAGAGCTGTTGATCAACTCTGAGATAATCGAGTCTTGCGAGCTATAACCTAATTCCATTACTTTATCCTCATAGGTAGTAGTGAAGTTGGACGATGAGTCTCAAATGCTGGACTTAGCAGGACTGGCCAGGGAGGTTGGTCTGACTGTAAGCCTCATCCAGGATGCTGGTCGCACTCAGATAGCCCCAGGCTCGCGAACTGTTCTCGGAGTTGGGCCTGGACCTGCAGACCTCATCGATCAAATTACTGGTCACCTCAAACTATATAAGATTTTAGTATTTGATGGGAATTTCTTTCTTATTATGTGTGATTTCTTTATTGGCTGTTTATTATTATTTTGATAGGAAATGGGAGAAAAATCAACAAAAAAAGGGAGAACTTTGACCTCATAACACAACTGGCATTTCATGTTAAATCAAGTAATTTGAAATTGCTTCTTGAAAAGGGATTTTCAAATATGGGAGAGAATCTTGTTTGTTATGTTATTAATGTTGTAGCTAACATTTTATTAGCAAAAAAGACTTAATTGGAATTTTTCTTTCTTTCTTTTTCAATAATATAAGAAGGGTATTGTGTGGTTGGTAAAAAAAAAAGTTGTTACAGTTGGTCAGTTGAGCTGCTTCAGGGTAAGTTAAGAATTCAAGGGTAGTTTGAAAATTCAATATTCTGCAGTTTTTTTCATGTGTAAATGGTTGTCTGGGTTATCATGTTGTAACAAAAAAATAAATTTGAGGCACTAGATCCACAATCATTTAAAAATGTTTTCCATTTACCTCACTTGTTCACAACAGGTTACATGCTTTTATATACATGCCATACAAAGAATAGAGTTCTGGCATATCCTGTTACAGTGGGGGGATATGTCCTGTCCACTGTCGTTTTGTTTTATGATTTTTGTAACACATCTATGGCTTTGCAAGTACTCATGCACTAAGGAGTTGATGAGTAGGCCTGTGACCATACCAGACCCTTGAGTTTACAAGATTTTTTTTTCCAATTATATCATTAACAATGTTAATAGCAATAAGAAATTTAAAAAAAAAAAATCTTTCTTAAAATCAAAGAAAAGGTTAAACATATAAGATACGGAAGGATGGTAATTGACTCCTTAATGACTAAACTGTTGTGGAGCCATTTATGTGTAAACAAACTTAATGAACTAAAAATCCCAATGCACATGGCATGAACATATATGCCATCCCAGTGTCAGTGGGTTAATATTTAAAAAAAAGATAAAAAAATGGAGCACAGATAAATTGGCATATTGTTTTTTTTTTATGGTTGAATGGAAATCAAAAATGTTGAAGATATATTGCAAGTTATGCAGGCATTATACTTCATGATAAAGTAATGTGGGTTTCTAAAGGAATTTCTTTCCTTATTTGTTTAATTAAGATAAGAATGTCTGTTATAAGGAATTAACACTATTTTAATGATATCCTATCATCAAATAAAAAAAAATCCAGTATCTGGCTAGCAATGATTGTTATGCACATAATCACTTCATCAGTCATCACCCTAGTAATATTTGCATGCTGTGTTTTGTCTCTTCCCCAACTCAATCATTCATTACATACAGTATTCTAGTTAAGCACAGACAAAGGTAATCTAATGGCCTCAAACTTACACATGTCGTTGTTGAATTCATGTTTCTCTGTGTGTTGTGTAAATAGTAGTATAGATAAGCTTCCCAGAATTGCGTGTTAAAGTCCGAGCAACCAACAGAAAGCCTCGACACCTTCTTTTTCTCTACTCTGTAACCGTTCACACAAATAAATTGTTGGAATCAAGATTGACTTTCCTCTGTTTACATTTAAGATGGATAACTTGACTAATCACTCAGCAATTTCACCATCAATGTAACCTTTTATGATATTATTGCTAATGTCTTGAGTCACAAGCCTTTTTTGTGTTTTGTACCTTTTTAGAAACAAATTAGAATTATTCTTATTTGAATATCTTACTCAGTAGCAGGTTATAATGATTGGAATGATATCTCTGATATAAACTTGGTAAATGATTTTGGGCTGAACAGTGATAGTGACAATACATTTAATGGTAATAATGCATGAAAAATGAGATTACATATTAACAATTCCTTTCTTCTATTTTCTTGTAAATGATTTGGGCTGAACAGTGAGTGACAATACATTTAATGGTAATAATGCATGAAAAATGAGATTACATATTAACAATTCCTTTTCTTCTATTTTCTTTCTTGTAACCCATTTAAAACTTTCTTCTTTCAGTCACATAAAAGGCTTTATATTTTAGCTTTTCCTAATACAAAATGATGATTTTTTTTTTTTTTTTTTTTTTTTTTTTTTTTTTTTTTTTTTTTTGAGCAGAGTATCTTAATTAGATTAACAAAATGTCAATGGGAAAATGGTGCGTTCCCTTTGGCAATGCTTGGTTAAATGTTTCTGCACATAGATAGCTCTGCCAATGCTTAGCCACAAAGGAGTCAATTAGTAGATCTTGCGACCTCACTTTTCCATAAAAAAGTGTGAAAACGTTATTTTTACTAATGCTATCAATATTGATACTGTTTTTTTTGTTATAAACATTATAATTAATATATTATTACTGACATTACTAGGAACACTATTAAATACTAGAACATATTATTGAAAATCAAGGAAAATGGTAAACAGGTGAGACAGTTAGTTCGCGTAATTGGCTCATTCATGTATGTACACCCAACAACAAAAGCGATGTCGCCTCGCCAGACCTGGGCTTGGAGAGATCTTGCCATTCTTGCCCTGAAAGGTGGCCCACGTTCAAACAACCTGGACACAGTTAGGAAAGGGGGGGGGGGAAGAAGAGGATGAATTAGATTCGCTAGGCAAAGCAAGGAGTGTGTTCAGCTATGTTTCAGTCCCATCTTATCGAGGCTAGTGTCTGCACCCCCTCTCTCCTCTCACTCACCCCCCTTTCTGTCTCTGTCTGTCTGTCTGTCTCTCTCTCTCTCTCTCTCTCTCTCTCTCTCTCTCTCTCTCTCTCTCTCTCTCTCTCTCTCTCTCTCTCTCTCTCTCTCTCTCTCTCTCTCTCTCTCTCTCACACACATACACACACACACATACACACTGTGGGTAATATTTGTGGGTATGAATAATATATAGTCTCAAATAGCGCCTCTTGGGCTACCAAACATTAATAAATGGCTTTGGCCGCAAGACTTCGAGGGTAATGGGCTGTAAAGCTATAGGTATCGATTCCCTTGTTTTCCTTTTATTTCGTTTGGGTGTCTCCTACGAACCACGAACTCCAGTCGCGTTCATGAATCGTCAAGTATGGTTAGGTTGGGGTCAACTTGAGTGAGATGGGACACTTGGTTCCGCCCTTTGCAATCACATACTTAAAGAAATTATTAATGTCTATTATATCAGCATTAAGTTACTTTTGATACAAATTGATTTAAAGTGCATCGTCAGTCAACCTAATTTATAACATTATTTCCAAAACTGTTGGTGAAAATGAATTATGTAAAATGAAAAGCAATGAATGTGTGCAGCGGTGCATTAATATAATGATGGAAGGGTATATAGGATGCAGGTGTTGCGAAACTTATACTATTAACATATCTTTTAGTATCAAATTATTAATTGACAGTCTTTAGACCTGGGCAGATTGGGCACTTCCCAGCAAACCCCTTTCCCGGTTCACGCTTGCTCATTCACCCCGCGAAAGGCCGAGTCAATCTTCAATTTACCCAAAGCTAAGGGGTATTCCCTTAGCTTGACTATACGCCTTTATTTGTCGTTTCAGCGGCTGGTGTCCAACACCTTGCCGGTGTTTCCCCTCCAAAGTATTCAAGAAACCCATTTCTTTCGATATCCGTCTTTTGCATATTAATTTCGTTATTTTGGCAATTAAATAATTGTAAACATCTGGAAATATAATGGCATATGAACTAATGTCAAATGTTCTTTTCCAAATAACATATCAAAAGTTTACCATTATCTAAATAGTGGATCCAAGTGATATAAGACAGAGAAGTCAGAGAGTAGCTGATTAGGATAATGCAGAGCCATATATTAACATACATCCTTCATATATGAATGAAGGATATTTCCGTCTGACGAATATTAATATGAATACAGTTCCAACAATGTTTAAGTTTTTTATATAGAAAATATGATAAGGAATTGAAATAAAACAATGTGATAAGATTTCTTGATAACCATTTTCGAAATATTAAACGATAATTTATTTCTTAAGGCAGGTTTCCAATATATCCACCAAATTAATAACTAAACAGGAATTAAAACGACCCCTCTCTCTCTCTCTCTCTCTTCATGTATATTTCAGTTATTTTTGCACTTCTTCGTCTGATTTCCGTACTTTCCCACCTCCTCACATTCGAACTATCCTAACTATGCCCTAGTTGTTTGAACGAGGGTCTCCTTTCACGGCAAGAAGGGCATGATCTCACCGAGCCCAAGACTGGCGAGGCGTCATCGCTTTTGTTGCTGGCTGTACATGCCATGCCCAGCGACACAGGGTTAATAGAGAAAATAACACCTTATAATTCAAGAAAAGAAAAGAAAAAATCTTATGTGGGCGACAATGCAAATTAATTCTTACAAAAAAATGCTATTAATATTAATGCTGTCATTAATATTATAGACATTAGAAAGAACATTTCTGACATGTCTAATAACAATATAAAATAAAAGTATATCCAAATATCAAGGAATATAATAAACAGGTAAGATGTAGTACTAGATATTGGCTCATTAATGACTAAATACTTATTGAGCCATCTATGTGTAAAGACAAGTAATAAACTAAACACTCAAAGGGCATGACATGAACTTACATTCCATCACAGGTGACATCAGATTAAACATGGCTACTTGTGCCTCCTAAAGCTGTTGAAACCACAGCCGAATTGTGAGCATAGTGAGGAAAAAGTCTCACAATAAGTCATGATTTTCATTTTTATATATTATGGTTAATAAAAGATTCTTGGTTTTGGAAGAATAATCCTTTTTTATGTTTGATATAAAAATATATAAAGCACAGATATCTAATAACACTGGATCTCTATGTACATCTTTACATGAGATGTCATGGTGCCATAATCCTGATAATTGTTTTAATGAAAGAAAAAAAAGAGGATAATTTATTTCATGAGTCATGGTAAAAATGCAATGTACTTATTAATCTATAAATATTCAAACAAGAAAAAATAATATCAATCTCTTCAGAAATGCTTTCATACATTTCAAACTCAATACCTGGTCCCCTTGTATAATACAAAATATATTTCCTCCACTCGGCACTCTAAAAGGTTTGCTTTAGCTACTTCCTGGAAACAATAATTCTCTCCTCACCATTAACCCCTAAGGCAGTGGTTCTTAACCTTTTTAGTCACAGATCCCTCTAAGAATCTGATGAATGCTATGGAACCCCCTTCTTAGAAATATTCAAATAACTTTCTGTATAATGTACTTTATTTATTGAGATTTGATTGTCTCATACATATGTGAGATACACAAACTATTATCAAACTTTAAAGTAAACAATCTAAAAAAACACACACTAGTATATTGTTACTTTTATCTGATCCTCCCAGACCTCCTGAAACCCATCCACGGACACCAGGTTAAGAACCCCAACCCCATAGGACAGAACCAGATTTTCCAGACTCTCATATCAGATCTTATCTTCAAACAGCTTGATGCGGAACTTGCTACACATTATATTTAAACTCTTTATGTGTTCAACAACTCAGTAGCCTAATGCACCCAAGTATTGATCATGTGTTTTGGTTTCATGAAACTCTGGTGCAGCAATTGATTAGGACCCCAGCTATTCTTAGCATACAGGAGGTGGCAACATGCAAGAGCTGTAGTTGAAGCTATGCATCACTTGATGTTTTTATATTTATTGTGAAATTCCCATAACAGATCATGTATTCAAACAGCCTGTTGTGAAACTTGCTACATCATATTTAACTTCATCTGGAAGTATATGAAAACTCCATCCAAGGGGTGTACAGGGGGGGGAGAGATTGTCTCATTTTAGTACTGAATGTACTGGCTGCTCAGTGAATAGTTGCACATTTTTACCAACCTGCTGGTCACAGAGCAAAAAGACAATAATCTGATTCAATTCCACTGCTCCAATCCTTTACAAACATGGAAGCAACTATAAGTAAACACATGGAGCTTATTACAGTCCCTCTAACTTAAAATAAATTATTACATAAAAAGCGATTATTATAAAAACAATATTTTATTTACTTTATATCCACTTTCAATTCTTATCAGCATACTTTACATACTGCCCTTAATCATTTTCAAGTTGCTGATGCCACCACCTGCGAACAATAACATGGTTATTGGAAGTTGGAGGCTGCTAGAAGGAATAGCCAACCCAAAGGCTGCAGAATATCACCATGTTGGGATTTGATTACCTTACAATCAACAACATGAATGTAAGGTAAAAGAAAATCCAACAGTTGTGACCCACATGCTTGCACTGTTACAATTTTGTTTTAACACAATTTGTTTTGTTAATTGATAAACTTTTATGCATATAACTATAACACAATATTTAATCTAACCATTCAATAGAGAGAAATTATATAAAAATTAGAATTTAACACAATATCCAACTTTAACAAATAAAAAACAAACTTACAACAAATCGGGCCAAGATAGGCAGAATAAAATATACAATGTTTACAAATATTTCCTTCATCCAGATTCACTTGAACTCTTTTTTCCAAGAGTCAGGTAGAAACGAGACTTGTGAACAACTACAAAGAAAGGGAAAAGCTATGTTCAAACTTTTCAGTAGCACAAATGGATTTTAGGTTTACAATTAGATCACTATTGAATGCAAGGTAGATTAGATATGACCTAAAATAATATCAAGTCTTGTAAAACAAATGTAATAGAGTATGGCTAAGTTGAGTGAGTAACATAACAAAGAGTCTGTCTAAACTATGAAATGTATTAAAAACAGAAGACTTTGAACTGAACATGGGCACCTTTTTCAGACAGAAAGAACAACTTTGATAATGCAAAAGCATAATGTGAATTTCTGCATTATTTCAAGTACACAATGCCGATTCTATTTTTCTTAACTGCCTTCCTTTACCAGTAGCAGTTTTAATAAAGTATAGTTTTAGACTTGTCTTGTTTAAAGATGAGCAATCAGTAAGCTTGTCCATGGATATAGCACTGGGACAAACAATCAATGGAATATTTCAAGTCCAAGACAGGGTGTTAGTTCTATTCACATGTTCAATCAAAATACAAAACTATATACAAGGATTTATCATTCAGATATATTCTAACTTCATTTTGCTGTAACACCGTTGCATATAACAAGTTGCAAACATTTACAGTTTAACCTAAAATATTGCTAGCCAGAGTATTGCCAATCTCCTCCTCTCTAAACATTATTTTATGGTACATATGTACATATTAAACCAACACTTTGGACTTTCATATTGTAAGAAAAAATGTCTGTACCTAAGATTCTATTCTTCCCTAAATAAAAATAATAATAAATAAATAAGTTTACATCAGCTACCTTCTTGTATAAAAACTATTAGCAATCATAATGCCCTATAGCTGTAAAAATCTAAATTTATAAATGGCTCATTACTAAAATCAATCTTAAATGACAGCATTAACAATATAACAGACAAAGACAACCCAATGACTAGCATAATCTAAAATAGACCATTTAGTTAGAGTATGCTTCATACTGTATCCCGATTCTTGTTGTTGGGGTGAAGAGTCGAACATGATGCCAAGGTATGCCAGGTGAAACATCGCCAATAGTCCAAAAGCCAGGTTAGTACAGATTGTAAACACTGACCATCCTGAAAGACAGTGTCATGGTATTAACAAATATATTTTATTTATTGAAAATATGAGAAGTAATTTTCTTGTTTCAATCACATAGTGTGTTTGTAAAATCAAAAGCTGGATAAAATTATTACAGCATATGATATTTTGCCCATGGTTTACAGTAATTTCCCATATACGTATTTCTTATTCACTCAAAGCTAAATTTCCATTCCCCAGAAATCTTTTACACATAAACTTATCAAAATATCTCTAAGACTATTCTAGTTTGCTCATTTTTGTTTTTCCTAACCTCTTTGCTTTCCTTAAAGTACCGTAAAGCTAAAATACCCAAGTCAAATAAAAAAAAAAAAGCATGTTTCAACATCTTTCACAAACAGGCTAAACCCTAAACAAATGGCCTAAGGAACAATATTAAAATGCATCTATTGGAATCAAGTCTACCAATAGGGACAGAATCATGATTCTACATTGGTAACCACAGGGGCAATAGATACTAAATGCAAATCATTTGATCCTGCTATATCTTTTCAATAGATTAAGCTGCAATAAAATATGAATATGAAAGCATGCTTAAAGGCAAAACAACCTGTATACCCAATTACATGTTTTTAAGTGACAAGTGTGCCTGATGATGGCACCTACCAAGACTGAGTACTTCATAAGACGACAATCAACAAAAAACATATTCCTAAACTGGTTTTGGGAACTTCAAAATAGAAAATAAATGATTCTACTGAGAGAGACATGGAAAGAAGAAAAAAAGAAAGGAAATAGGGATAAATAACATACCTTTCTGCGAATGTCCACAATTCTCTGGGCAGGGTCTAGCTAATATACAGGCATCAAAGGCGCTTGCTAGCTTATATCTGAGTGAATGCTCAACATAAGTATAGAAGCCCAAGGACAAAAGCACAGCTGCCAGTTGAAAGTTCAGACCGTGGAAAAGTGCCGACATGCTGTAGGTGAATAAAAGTGCCCAGAACACTCCCAGCTGCCCTCGAACTGGCTTAAAGACATCTGAAGAGTGACAAAAAAAAATAATGTTAAATATATCATACTTATCTGATGATTCAGCTAGAACAGTGGTTCCCCAACTTTTTGTGATCATTAACCACTTTTCATACATGACCTTTGTCCATGGCCCACTGCCAAGTATAACCCATAACTATAAGGACTGTCTACAGTCCTACACTCACATTAGGTCCATATAAAAACCATTCTAGCAAATCCTGTAATTTTATTGATTCCATTTATTTTTTATTTTGTTAAGTATTAGCCCTTCTGTGACAGGTACAGCTATAGCTATCATAACTATGACATACATACACATCATGACTCGCAGTAGGTGGGCCAGATGTATACAAATTAGGCCTAGCCACAAAATCTAACATGTTGCATAATATTACATCACAAAAAATTCAGGCCCCATCATCATAGGTTTGTTAGAGAAATTTGTAGTTTACCTTTGCTGAATCTCATATAATTATTGAAAAGTTATTAAATAAGCACATAATGCATATAAAAAATCACAACTCACATGTTTTTAGCCAATGGTGCATGGGCATATTCCAGAATACCACAACCTCCCCAAGAGAACGTGGAACCTCAATTGATCCTGGGTTAGCAACTCCCACCAATTCTAGGCCAGCTAGTAATGCAGAAACTTCGCTCATGTATGAAACAAAGTAATGGCTTGTTCGAAATGCGAGGGCATCTCTGTAAGCCAGCATCCATCTGCAACAACGGTGGTCTTTGTTATGAATAATGTTTGCATTGCTGCTACTCAAGTAACAAAGCCTCTGATATATATTTCTTTTCATTATCAATAAGCTACCAAAAAACTTACTATTTGTTTCCTTCCAAATACCTTTATACAGAATCGTTACTCATTTCATAAAGCTACAATTTGTGCACACCATATAACTTTATAGTGAATTCTCATTCATACTGAACCTATATTATCATGCAATATATTTAGAAGTACATATTAAGGTGATATAAAGTATTCCAATATAAAATAATGCTGCATGTTCTTACTTGTTTCCTGGGTCTGCTAAAATCCATGATATAACACATGTGGATTTAATCAAAAATAAAAGGCTGGCTGCCAAACTCTGTAGGATCCTCAAAATTGGCCATGTTTTCTGTTATAAACAAATAAACACTCATCTTATTAAAACTCATGTCTGTATACATATATCAATATCATTTCATATATCCAATACATTAGTACAAAATTAAGTTTCTTTGTAAAACAAATCTAGATTCCTTTATAAAACAAGTACAATATCTTTTCATAGCATACCTATTCTTTAATAGCATAAGGACAAAATCATGTCTATAAAACATATATCTTCATTATAAAAGTAACCATCACTTACCCAAGATGCCGGTTCAAGAACCTTCATATAGGTTTTAAAGGAAACCCAGGGACCAAAGATGATTGAACCAGGATTCAGGATGTATCCAAGGAGCTCAAAAATGCCTGGGCAGGTGGTGAGAGTGCGAGCATCAAGATCATATCCAACAGATACCACCTTCATTAGGATGATCATCTGAGCACCTCTTATGCTATGCCAGTCAACTGGATCTGCCCACCATAACTCGCTGGAAAAATGGTACATTTTCAATTGTCAATTGTTTGGAGAAAGAGCAATAATAATAATAATCATAATCAAATAAATGATTACCTGCTAGAGGATTTTAGGTTTTCAGTGATGAAAATGAAACATTAAGAATATTAAGTCCATTTGGATTAAAGTAGGTATACAAAGCTATTTGCGATAGTCAAATCACCTCTAAGGACAAACATTACAAAGCAATTCTTTGTTTACTAATCCATACTTAATACCTTTACATGGTATGAACTTACATCTATTTGCTCATATGTTCCATGAAATAACAAAATGAAATCAGATGCTACAAGCAAGATAATTTTTTGGACTTCCAATTATATTTTCACCCATATACTGTACATATTCATAACTAAGCAATTTTTTACACTAAAAACATTTGAATCTATGATGTCTGTAAAGAAGGGTAACTAAAACACACCTTGTTCTATTGAAAAATGAATTGCTGAAAACAAAATGATGGTATTTTTGTGGCTAAAATCAGCATACTTCCTCGCTTTGTCCGTAGTTTTAAGATTGGTATGAGACAATGAGCAATATTTTTTTATCTATAAAAGGGGTATATATGTGTGTTACAAAGGAAACCAAGGCTTATCATTATGTAAAAAAAATCTCTGATAAATCATAAGCTGAGAATGCAAGTAAGTTCATCTGTGTGCTCAATCAGCAACCTGTAAGAAGAAAAAAAAAGAAGAGAAAAAGGAATTCTACTAAAACAGGTCTCAGTTATTCAAGTCCACACTTCAACCTGTATATCATGGGAAAGCCAGTACACAAACTGGTCTATAATTGAATAGATTTTCTGTTCACTGTCAGGAAATATAACATGGAACAGACAGATATCTTCTAAACACTATCATTTACTAATCTTCTACAACACTCTTATCTGTCTGCAAAATGTCATCAGCAATGCTTAATATAATTCAGTAAAACTATTCACCCATATATCAGTTACCACTCACCTTCATCTACTTAATGCACATAACCTCCATCTCACTTTTAAATGACCTATGGTGCAAACAAGAAACTTCCAAACACAATAAAAAAGAGAACGAGAAATTAAAACAGTTCACAAACTCACCACACGGTCATGACAACCACACATGCCACACAAGTCCAAGGTCCGCGGCGGGCTTTCACTAGTGCATTTGAGATGAGAAGGGACAGCCCACCAACACCCGTCAGAGAGGCCATGTAGACAGTGCGTTGGCCAAACAGCTGCCAGGCCACCACACAGCCACATGCAGCAGACATCAGGTGCACAAGACATGCAGGAACTCGCACTAGTGGAGAGGATGCAAGGGAATAGGCCTTTTACATTTTGGTCTTATGGTTTTACTCTTTATATTTTAGGCATACAAAATTTACTCTGCATAATACAACCAAAGAGTATCGTCATTGAATATCAATAATGGACTGTCTAAGAAATTTTACATATAAATTTAGACTACATTCTAAATATACCAACATCATTTACCTATATCAATTCATAAGGTTACCTTTACAAAGAACCCACCTACTGATAATCCTGAATACTAAACTTGATTTGTTTTAAATTTCATAATTCTATCTAATCTAGATCTATCAAATACAATTTTAGATCTTCATAGAATGTTACTAGGATATCTATAAAAAAAATTGTTTAAGGAAGCAAAGTTGAGATATACATGAAGGTTCATAAAAAACTCAAACACACAATACAGTAATGCCATATTTTTCAGTTTTACAATAAAGACTACTGATTTACATCCAGTTACTCTAATTTATTTAATCTTAGCCCAACAAAACATGACCCTTGTCTAATTCCACTTGTTACTACTGAAAAAAAAATCAGGTTACACACGCCATTGAACAATCAAAGCAAAAAAATTCAAATTTTCCCAAATCTAAGGATATAGCTTAGGATACACAATACAATATGACTTTCACTGCAACCAAATTAAACACACAATATCTATATTCTTAGAAAAGTGAAATGTCTCATTATTTGCCCACATCATAAACACACAAAGTCTCTTTTAATATTACTAACCAAAAAATAAATAAAAATAAAAATAAAAATAAAACAAACAAATCCATAATCAATGAGCATGTTATTTATTCAACAATAAAAAATATGTCTAAAATGTGCTCATGGTTAGTATTAATGTGCTCATGGTTAAGATTATAGCAAGTGATATTTAGTGTAGTTCCCTTTTAGGGGACATTCAAGAAGGAAAGTGCCCTCGTGTGTACAAAATAATTGAAGATAAAAGATTGAGGGAACGATAACCTCAATACCTCTCATCAAATTTCTCTGCACACTACCGAAACAGCCCTGCAAGATGAACATAGTACAAAAGACAACAAAAAGTTTCTTGGACTATCCAAATACGTAACAATATTAATAATTTTTTTCTGAAGATTTGCATATGGTTATTGTTACATGAGTACTACATAAGTCACAGAATTTCTTGAGTTTATTTACCATAAATAAGTGTCTCAAATGTTATTGATTTCATTGTTACAATACATTACAAAATCTATCAATGTCATTCACAAGTTTAATCTATTTCATTTATGTTGACTGAATTCATATAAGATTTTTACACTTTTACAAACATTGTGCAAGTGCTATTTCTGATAAATCAACCTGACCAATAAAATTCTTTATTCTCTTTTACATTTCTCTCAACAATTGTCAAACTGAACTGGGTACACCTTGTCCATCACAAATCAACAAACTATGTGCATCTAATTTATAACATGAAAACTTTCTATTTCTGTTCGGTTACCAGATGATGCCATTCCTATAATGGTCAGAAACAGAAATATATATAGTACTCATAACACTTTTTTCCACATGAACTCAAGCATTGCAATATTTACCCCTAACTGAGACTTTAATTCCTAGGCTCTGAGTATAAAGCACTGTCCATCTCTTTACAGCCTGGAACTTAGGCATATAGTATTAACATTTACTGTAAATTAATTTACTTGGCCTAATCTAAATATAAAAAATAAGCTAAAACTTCAACCTACAAGGTTTATCAAATATATATCAGAAATAGTATGTTTAGATCCACTTTACATACTTCTAAATATACATCAGATAATGAAGGACATCCTCATAATTCAACCATCCATCTTCCTTCTGTATACATCTAAAATATATTCAATTTCACCACTAGGCTGTAACCAGAACATATAAGCTTGGTCTTCTTTCAATTGAGATTGACTAAGTAGCCACCACTTCTCCCAAAACCATGCATGACTTCAAAAGATTCTGGATGGAAGATTTACTGGACATTTTCATACTACCTACAAAAGAGGACATACAAAAATACCATGAACTGGTAATATCAAATCTGGTAGTATGAATAACCACTTCTTCATGCAGATAAAGTTGGTATTAGAAACAATTTATATGGAAATACAGAACTAGGTCCAACCTTTGGTTAGAGACGTACGTGGAGATCACATTACCTTGGAGTGAGGGATATCAATTAGCATAAATCAATGACACGCTTTATACAACAACAATCTTCAAATCAATATATGAAAAGGGAATACTTGATTTACAATCCAACAAGTCTTTGTCATTTTGTAATACAAGAGACAAATTAAAACAGATGTATGTTCCCCTGAAACCGGTAGGAGATATGGAATGATGTAAATAATATGACGATATTTTGGGTCTGTATCATTTCTCTGACTGTCAAAAATATGATAGATGTTATGAGAGATATCAACAAAAACACAATTCATATCTGAGCACCATCTTCACATCCAAAAAACAATTGAAGAGTCATGATTTGCAAATGAATATGTATATCGGTCATAAAATCTACAAGAACAAAAAGGAAGTCTTTTACTTAGCTACTTAGCACATAATCTCTTGCAGGGGATAGAATATCTAGAGAGGAAACATGACATGATATTTGTTTTATGGTGGAAAATTAGAAAGGAAAGAAGGGTGGAATTAGTGAGTCCATGTGTTAGTATTTTTTTCATGAAATTAAATGAGAGGAAACTCCAACCAGCCTATGACCTTCAGATCTTTTTATCATGCTTGTCTAGTGCACATGAATACAAATGCAAAGATTCTTGATATCTTTTTTTTTAATATCATCTATTTTGTATTTTCAATTTTTATGAGATTAAGATTCATTACACTTATTAATAAAAATACATGTGACCATCTTGGATGTCTATGTATTATATGTTCAATCTTATATATTGAAAAACTGCATTGCATCTATCTAATGAATTCCTTAAAAAAAGTGTATGTATAATGTAAAAATCTTGATTTAAAGTTGTCCTTTATTTGCAATGAAATCTCCATAACATCAGCACTTCAATGCTTGTCCTTTTTGCATCCATATATACACATCAACACCCACACCTAAACCTAAAAAAATCAGCTATTCTAATCCTAGTGATGATTCATAAGTCACCTCAATGATCCCGGTTACTACAGCCTATGCCCACAGATATCTTCATTGTTATACTTATTGTGTATGTTAGATTTGTGTAAACAATGTTCAAATATCAATGAGAAGAGAGGAACCACAACAAAGTTGGAAGATTCCAATTTTTTAGACTCAATGCAAGTCCCTTTCAGCTAAAGACATTTATCATAAAGAATATGAAATATAATACATTAAAGGGCAAAGATCCTTCCTCTAGTATGGCTGAACTGTCTATGAAGAAAATAGCAAATAGTGATCAATAGAAAGATTTTTCTAAAAGATATCTCTGATACAGATACATAAGGACAGTGAGAGATGAAAAAAAAAAACATTTAGAAAATGTACACCACCCTAGCCTTGCAGATTCACTCTCTCCATTAAACATAAACTCTATAGTGCACTTTGCTTTATATTTCATCCAACATAAATCTTATCTAAATCTTACAAGAACTGTTCTAGAACATCAGGACGCAATGATTGGAATACTTGTTAATTTTAAGAAATGCCCTCATCTTCCAACACATGAAAACATACGAAGAAAGAAGTAAGGCTATCCATACCTTTTTCTACCTTTTGAATAAAACAAAAAAAGCAGAAATGTAAAACATTCAAATATCCAAACATTAGGATAAATATATAAACATAAAAAAAAACAAGTTATGAAGCACATTACAGCCTTTCCAAGGTAACTGATAATCCTGCAGGAAAATTCCATTCACAGCAAACCAATATAATGTAACATAACCAAACCAAAAACCAGAAACACGATAACAAAATCAAACACAGCTTTTATACTCACCAAATCTCGTGCTGATTGAGAAGATCAATGACCACATCAGAATATTATAAAGGTGGCGTGCAGAGTCTGTGACCGTTGGCACAACACAGTACTCATACAGCTCCGAGATTGTGAACTGCGACTCCATGTCATCGTCATCCTCCCACGGCTCATCTTCCGGGATCTCATATATTTCCTAAATATGTCATATAAATTGTTAGTCCATAAATGAAACAAATACTTTGCCTTCAGAATTATCATCCTAATGATACTGTAGGAAGTTTGAATTAAGATATTTTGCAAATTGGTAATTGTGTTTGATATGAAGAAATCAGGTGCAATGTAATTTCACAGAAGATTAGTTTGCAAAGATGGAAAAAGATACAGTGAATAAAAAATAACTAACTCAAATATCTTGGACAGTATCTTGGTATAAAAAGATGTAAAAAAAACAAATAAATAAATAAATAAATAAAACAAGTCAAGCTAATGTACTTGAAGAAAAAAAATATTTGATTTTGGATGCTTAAAGAAAATCTAAGATATGCAAGATTGCAAACTAAACACTGAGACTGAGATTAACATCTAAAAATAATAGAAGTATAGTAATTAGTGAAGACAGATATAACAAAACATAATCAATATTAACAAGACAATAATGAAATAAAGAAAAACAAGTGAACAGAAGTATATTTAAGATTACAAAACTGGTTCACTATACAAATATGAAAACAAAGGCAAACATACTAAAAGGAGTAACATAAAAAAATTCAATGTGAATTTTGATTAAGAAAAAAAAAAAAGGTAGTGACAACGTAAAAAAATATATATATATAAAAAAGAATAATAATAAATAAAGGATAATAGACATAAAATTCCTCTTTGTTCTAGGACATCGGTTCCCTGTTTTTTCCACAACCGAGAATTTTTTTTCTCTTTGATCTCAGACAGCGAATCCCTGTTTTTTTCCACAACTGAGGATGTATTTTTAATTGTATCTATTTTCACTACAGACCCCAGATTCTTCAAGGGTCAGATTATTCAACAAGATAATTTCATCACATTGTTGCAAACTAATTTTTCTGTTTTATCTATCACCTCTCAAACTCCTTGTAAATGTGTGCGAATCTAGATAAAACGAGGCACAGATAAAACCTAATAAGCCTTTTCTTGATGAATTTTGAAGTTTACATTTGTCATTCTGAATTTTGCCTCGTACTAGTTTTGCAATCTCTAGGGAACCAATGGCCTATGTTTTCATGAATAGCAAAAATAGAATAGGAAATAGTGAAAGCACAGATGGTAAACCAAACAAGACAATATGACCCTTATATCACCTACATCATCATAATAATCCAAATATTCGACATCCTCTGCGTTTGGATCATAGTCGTAGTCACCATACATAAAGTCCTCCATCTGAAATATCAACACAAGTATATTAGTAAAAAGAAGTTTGTTTGTTTGTTTGCGTGTGCATGAATGTGTGCATGTGTGCATGTGCATGTGTGTGCTTGTGCGTGTGCACAACTGAGTGTGTAAGTACTTGTGTGTGTGTGTGTGTGTGTGTGTGTGTGTGTGTGTGTGTGTGTGTGTGTGTGTGTGTGTGTGTGTGTGTGTGTGTGTGTGTGTGTGTGTGTGTGTGTGTGTGTGTATGTGAGTGTGAGTGTGAGTGTGAGTGTGAGTGTGTGCGTGTGCTTGTGCGTGCTTGTGCGTGCGTGCTTGTGCGTGTGCTTGTGCGTGTGCTTGTGCGTGTGTTGTGCTGTGCGTGTGTTTGTGTGTGTGTGCGTGTGTGTTTGTGTGTGTGTGTGTGTGTGTGTGTGTGTGTGTGTGTGTGTGTGTGTGTGTGTGTGTGTGTGTGTGTGTGTGTGTGTGTGTGTGTGTGTGTGTGTGTGTGTGTGTGTGTGTGTGCGTGTGTGTGCGTACATGCGTGCATGCGTGTGTGCGTACTTTGCATGTGTGTGTGCACAACTGAGTGTGTAAGTGCTTGTGTGTGCATGCGCATTTTTGTTTGTGTGTATGCGTTTTGTTTTCATTGGCATGGTAAAGAAAAAAAAAGGCTGAGAAGGTCAACAAAAATATCCAAACTATACAGAGACAAAAAATGATAAAACTGAAGTAATCAACACCGATTGCACCTTACTCCTTAGTACTAATTCCACTAGTGGTCCCAACTATTTGTCAAAAAGAGTACATTTAGTTACTTTTCCTGAGGGCAAATGAGCAATTTACAATAACTGTGAATGCAGCATTAGTACTCGAACCACTTTGCAATGATTGTAAAGGACATGTGCACATATAACAACTTCTAAAATTTGCAACTCATACTAATATCATTGATGGAGCTAATAAAGTATTGTCACAAGCTGAAGTGCTAACCTATAGTGCCATTAATGAACTCTCTTCAAAAATTTTTGTAAGTCCGTCTTCATCCTAACAATAATTCTACAGCATCATCATTTCTAAAACTATCAATGTTTCTATCACTCCAGAAGATATGAATCGACCCTTCTCCAAACTTATGCTTCACCCTTTAAATCATCATCCTTTGGGCTCAAGACGAATGTCATGTCTGTCCTGTGACGGGATTTTATTCATGATGATCAGAGGATTACGAGAAAAAGATGACTAGGTTATCTCTATTCTTAAGAGTTTCCTTGTACCAGTAACATGCTATTCCTTATTGTACTATCAATGAATGAGGTTTTTTGTATTACTCACTTCCAGTATTGTAAATCTGACAGCTATCATTAAATCAGTACTAATAACTACTATGCACAATAAACATTTAAACTCATTAAAAGATAAGTATTCTTATGATGCAAACTTCCAGTGCCTTCAATCCATAATTAAAAAAAAAAGGTCAAATTATCTACAGTTATATGTAATATCCATTATTTCCTCAAAGGTTTCTTCAGAGTCAAAGTACATCTCGGCTAAAAATTACCCCTTAAAACCCCTTAATCAACTGCTAACAATCTCCACCCATGCATAATTAATCTTAAAAATCAAAATACAACAAAAGGTCAAAGTAAAATAGAAAAACATTATACATTGTACATCCAACTTTGCGGAAATGTCTACGGTCCCGAGCCAGCCACCCGGCATATTTCCCCTGTAAAACCCCATTTACCTTCTAAATCACGGTGTTTTCTTTGTACTAAGTGTCTCCTCCCACTTTCAGATCCACTGTGGGCGTGGTGGTGGGCGTGTCAGCCTCTCTACGTGGGCGTGGGAGGGAGCGTTGGGCGTGATGTTAAAGGTACGTGTTAGAGACCTCGAGACCGCCCATACCACAATACACTCTTAATTTCTCTTCTTTTCTTCATATAAACTCATCTGTATTATTCGTCTTCTTTCATTCTCTCGTTCTTTATCCTTTAACATCTTACATATTCGGTATTTATCTCATTATCTTATTTCCTCTCTTTCTCTCTCTCTCTTTCGCTTCTCCTGCTATGCCCTTCGCTCACGCTTTCCTGACTTCACTTGCTGTCCTTTCCTGACCTCATCTCTCTGTGACATCATCTGTCTTTGACCTTTGTTCAGATTCAAAATATATACTGGCAGCTATTTCGGTTTAATTCACTTATGTTGTTGTTATTGGTTCTTATTACTTTATATCATTTATCGATTAATCATTTATTGTTGCTATTATCACTATCATTATTATTATTATTATTATTATTATTATTATTATTATTATTATTATTATTATTATTATTATCATCATTATCATAATCATTGTTATTATCTTTATTATTATTATCATCATTATTTTTATTATTATTATCCTTACTATAATTAATCATTATCCTTATCATTATTATCATTATCCTTATTATCTTTATCATTATTATTGATATCATTATCATTAGGCCATTATTGTTATTACTAGCATTGTTATTATTATTGTTATTATCATTATCATTATTATTACTGTTATAATTATTATCGTCATTATTATCAATATCATAGTTTCTGTTTTTATCGTTATCATTATCATTATCATAATTTCTATTTTCATCATTATTATTATTATCGTTATAAATTGTTATCATTATCATTGTTATCATTGCTATTATTATCATTATTATTATTACTGTTCTCATTATCATTATCATAATCATTATCAGGTGCATTGTTGTGGTTATTATTATCATAATAATCATCATTATCATCCTTATCTTTGTCATTACCATTATCATTATTGTTATTATTATCATCATTATTGGCATTACTATTATAACTATCATCATTATCATTATTACTATCTATTATCAATCATTATCATCAATATTATTATAATCATTATTATCATCATTATTGTTATTATTATTACTGTCATTATCAACATCATTACCACTACTATCCTTTTTACTATCATTATCACCACCATCACCACCCTCCCCCCACCATCATCATCATCGTATTTCGACAGATGCAGAAAAAAGTATGAATGAGCATGATTATCTTTACAATACATGAAATTATTTAGGGGTCTCGAATAGATCTTCGTCAGAAATACAAGACGAAGATATAATTGAATAATAGTAAAAAATAATGATGATAACGATAATATTAGCCTTATCAATATCGTTCCTATGATATTCATTGTTATCATTACCTTTATTAATATCGTCATTATTACTATTATCATTTTTATCATCGCCATCATAATCATATTATTATCATTATCATCATTTTTATTATTATTTCATCATTTTCATTATTCTCGTTATCACTATCATTATTCTAATTATTGTAATTGTTGTTGTTATCGCTATTACTGATATTATCATTATTATTGTTGTTTTTGTCATTATCATTATTATTGTTGTTTTTGTCATTATCATTATTATTGTTGTTTTGTCATTATCATTATTATCATTAGTATTATTATCATCATCATTACAACTATAATTATTATCATCATTTGTATTATGTTACTGTGATCATCATTATCATCATGATCCTCATTTTTATCATTATCATTACTACTGTTAATACTGTTTTCATTATTACTATTATCATCATTATAACATCATTTCCTATTTTATTATCATTCTTCCTTTCATAAGCATCATCATCACCACCATCAGTAATATCAATATTTTACAACCTCTCTTATCATTACCGTACGCTAATAACATCAGTCCTTATATATAAAAATTACACGTTCGAAAATATTCAGGTATTTCGTTCAGTAAACACAAGGAGATATTTATGAAAGACTATGCGCATAAAAATGAAGAAAAAAAATGGAAACGATTCTCGCGAATGTTAAGGCCCTATTATCCAGAGCAAGAGCTTCATGGGGGTACTGTGTCACATGAAAAGTTGGACTGCATACGTAAATGGAGAAAAAAAAAAAAACGTTTTGTGAACAAGATTTTGGGTAGATTATCTCTTGAGCTTTGTTTGTGTTGGGAAGGATTACAAACATCCCTAACGGTGAATTCATATAGGCGGGTGTGATTACTGGTGCAGCAAAAAGGATGCTTTCCTCGCCCTCATTATCAATAATATCAAAAGGACGTATATATCCAGTCCGTAAACTGCGTTATATTCTCAGATTAAAAAGTACTTGGCAAATGTAAGCGCCTCTCTCAGAGACTTGCAGTCAGTACACACATTTGTTGGGTACGAGACTAAGCAAGCCTGATTCTTAGTCTATTGCCTCCAAACGCTCTAGAACACCATGGTTTTATTCAGAACAAGGCCATGGGAATAGCACTTAGTTGTCTATTAAATGTTAACGTTCACGAAGAGGATCTCTCTCTTTCTCTTTCTCTCTCTCTCCTCTCTGACTCTCCTTAATGTGACGCAGTCGTGTTACCCAAATTTACACCAAACTCGACACCAGTCTTTTCCAGCTTTTACACACATCATAAATTTCCCATGCTTTGTTAAACGGGGCCAGCTATACAGTTATGCTTACTTGGTCCCGCGACTAATCTGTGACACTTTAATTTAGAATGGAAAGCCATAATTG